GTTGTATCTTGTGACATTTGTTCAAGATCCAAAAACCCTCGACATCGGCCTTATGGACTTCTACAGCCATTGCCTATTCCGCGCCGACCATGGTCTTCGGTTTCCATGGACTTTATTACGGATCTACCACCATCGAATTCATTTGACAGCATTTTTGTTGTCGTAGACCGGCTTACAAAGATGGTGCGTTTTGTCCCTTGCAAGAAGACATCGTCAAGCGAAGACACAGCAAGACTCTTTCTTGATAGTGTGTATCGATATCATGGTCTACCAGATGATATCATATCGGATCGAAGAACCCAGTTTGTGTCAAAGTTTTGGAAATCTCTTTTTGAAATATTGAAGGTGGATATCAAGCTTTCTTCGGCATTTCACCCTCAAACGGACGGCCAAACAGAACGGGTGAATCAAGTTTTAGAGCAATATTTACGTTGCACCATCAACTATCAACAAGATGATTGGGCCGCATATCTATCGCTAGTCGAATTCGCATATAACAACACCCTTCATGCGTCAACTCAACAAACGCCATTCTTTTCCAATTATGGATACCATCCGAAGCTTGACTTATGGAGTTCGTCAATGATTAACAATCCGGCAGCTGAAGGATTGGTGAAGGAGCTTTCGCAGCTTCAAACTACATTGAAGCTTCAATTGCAAACTGCCCAAGAATCTTACAAGGCGTCCGCGAACAAATTTCGGAATCAGGCACCTAAATTCACGATTGGAGACAAAGTTTGGCTGCTTCGACGAAATATTAAGACCAAGCGGCCATGTGACAAATTGGACTATCGGAGATTGGGACCATTTGTTATCCAGAAGCAGATCAATCCTGTAGCGTATCGTCTGGAGTTACCAGCTACTATGAAGGTACATCCTGTCTTTCATGTTTCTTTGTTGGAGTCTTATCGAGAATCGTCTTTTTCTGGAAGAGTACAATGTCCACCACCTAGCATAGAAATAGAGAACCACGAAGAATACAAGGTGGAAAAGGTCCTGGATTCATGGCAAAGACGGGGTAAATTAGAATACTTTGTGCATTGGAGCGGTTACGATATTAATGAACAAACATGGGAGCCGGTCGAAAATCTCGCGAATGCGTCGCAAAAGGTACAGGAGTTTCATCGACGATGTCCTGAGAAACCCAAGCCGGTTCGACGATAGCTTCTTACTGAAGCTTGCTCATCTAGAAAACAGAAAAGAGGAGAGAGCACCACCAAAATCCATAGTTGATGTAATCATTCTCTCCAAGATAGCGTAGAACTTTGTTAGTAGCCCAAGTTTGTTCTTATTGTTTTAGCCTTTGAATATGGATAGCCAAGATACTACACTTGTCATGTCATCTCAAACAACTAGCTCACAAAGACGACCGCGAGATGAAGAACCGCTTGCACCACGACGACGTCGAAGGATTCCGAGCAACAGATCGCTGGTGATTGTATTTGAGGTCGAGCCTGCCTACAATGGTCAGTCAGAAGGAGTGTTTACAGGACAATTTCACAATGAAGACACGGAGGTTCATGCTTGGTCAGAAGTTGAAGGCGTGGGCCACTACCGTTGGCTTCAAGGACCATTGAATCACTTGCCTCTTGAACAACAATTGGAGTTCATAGCAGAAGTTATGTGACAGATCTTCATTTTCTTGCGTTGGTATTGACTGACGATAACATTACTTCTCGGAGACCTCGAAGCTAAAGGAGGAGGTGATGTTAGGGACATAGTCCTTAGACCTTTCTAAAGACAAGTTTCTAGAACCTTCTAGAAAGAAGTCTCTAGAAACTTCCAAAAGATTCCTTGAATATTCTCTTAGAATATTCTTCAAAGATTCTCTAAAGATTCTTTGAAGATTCCCTAAAGATTCCCTTAGAAAGCTCTAGAAGATTCTTAGAATATTCTAGTAGATTCTAGGAAGTTACTTGAGAAGCTTCCTAGCTCTTAGGTAGTTGCTCGAGAAGCTTCATAGTTCTTGGGAAGCTTCTTGATGCGCTTCCTTAGAACCATAGGCCAGTAGTATATATAGGAGTCGAGGCTGAAGAGTTCTTCAGTCTCGACAACGCATCTCTTGAAGTTCTAGCTCAATTCTCCTGGCGTTACTCTTGTACTCATCTGATAATCTAGTTCTTGTCATTTCTTCTTGAACTTCTTGTTTAGATTTCTTGTTTGTATTTTTGGTCCGTGACAGTAGATCACAGAAGGTTTAATATTGTTAACTACCTCTTTAAGTCCATATATATATATATATATATATATATATATATGTGTGTGTGTGTGTGTGTGTGTGTGTGTGTGTGTTCTCTATTCTTTGTTGGCAAATGATTTATCTCAAAATAATGTATATGTTTTGTTTAGATAAAGTAATCAGTAAATAAATACACAACGAAAAATAATCGATTCTCAATTTTACAACTCATGTCTGTTGCAACTGAAAATAGAAGTTCACAATATAAAACAATCTGTGATAATGAAAATGAAATATATCAAACAATTATATTATTTTCAATCAACTCAAATGGAGAAAGATGCACTTTGAGTTAAATCTTGATCTAAGAATAGCATAAATGGTGTTTTTAAGAATTCAATTAACAACACCAAATATTTTTTGTTTATATATAATTTTTCAAGTTTAAAGCAATGTGCAATTCTATATGACTTTCAATTTTGGTGCTTAAGACTTGAGCCAAGTACAATGATAGTATGTTTGTAGACAGATTCTTAAATGTATAGAAACATACCAATGTCCCAATTTTATGCTGTTTTGATTTTATACCAATGATTAGTTAAATAATTAAAATTTTGATACTGAAAACTTCATATAGATGATTTTGATACATACTATAAAATATATATATATATATATATATATATATATATATTTTGGAATCCTCATTTGCCTAATTGTCATTAATTATCTTCTTTAAAATTCAATAATACTTAATTCTTGTATTTAACACTCTACTTTTGAAATTATGATCACAACGCTTGGTTTTTTTAAAGTGTAATAAAAATATATAGCTACACAGTTTTTGATATAAATGTCTGGGATGGAATAAAGTAATTATATGTGATTTTTATTCAATTTGATGTAACTTGAAGATCCTAAAAATATTTCATAATTTGATCATGTGATGCAATAAATAAATAAAATGTGTTTATTACCATAGTGTATTAGCATCTTCCTTGCTCTGATTGTCAAATATAACGTTTGCTTTCAGAACGGAATTACACCATAAGTTTATTTGTATTTTTGAGGTATTGGAAATTATTTCGTGTTGTCATTCTATATTAAACATTTGAATTGAATTGAATTGAAATATGATATAATCAACAGTCAACGAATTAGTGATATCTACCACAGAGTTATCATTGTAGAACCACAAATATCATTGTGAGTAATTATAGGGTATTTTGTGCAGTCAACTGATTTGAAAACACTGTAAATAATATTAAAATTGAATGCTGTTGGTTCTAAAGATTGTTGAAGCAAACATATTTACATTCATTTGTATTTTCTATCCAGCACTAATTGTTTTAAGAGTATAGGTAGGTGATCCACAATAGCTAATCAACAACTTGGAGCTGCAATAAGTTGGAGGTTCTAGTATATAATTGTGGCAGTCTTTTCAACCCTCAAAATGACTTAATGATGTGTGTATTTAAATTTAATTGTGCAACAATTAATAGGAAATTCTGCGTTTGCAATAGAAAAAGATATGCAAATCTATTTTTGAAGGAATATTTGATTATACATAGATATATATATATATATTCATATATTTAAAAGTGATAATAAAAGTCATAAATTATCATGTAGGGTATTAAATGAAGATTAAACTTAAAACTTTTGTTTTATATTATACTGTTAGATACTTTTTCTTTTTACTTAGTTTTATCAAGTGGATCAATTTTCAAGATGACGAAAGAAATCTAATTCCCGTAATACTTTAAAGTGTTAAAAAAATGAATTGCAGTATTGTTTTGATTATTTTGTTCAAAGAGTTACAGTTTTAAACTGTAACATAAACCTTGTTACATTGTCCGTGTTAAACAAACGTTTGTGATTTACACACAGTCCTTGATTTTAGTATGCATCAAGTAACTGGTCTGGTGGGTTATGCAAACTATCGCACTTTTAATTAATTTATTCCATTATTCCAGTGGCTTAATTCACAACTGATTTTGTTTTGTGATATTTTCCTCATATGAAGCTCATCATTCTAAAACAAATACCATCAACCCTTAAAATACATCCATCCGCGTCCATGAATGCAATGGCCTAATGTGAATGGGGCAACCGAGGAGAGGGGAGCAGGGGGCGGAGTTCCCAATGCCTGCGGTTCTCTGCCAAGTGGCCAGTGACGTGGAGTCAGGCATCAAAGAGAAAATGGAACCAACTTGTTCTATCCGGAACCGGGTGCCTCTGACGTCACCACACTAACCTTTTCCTGCTTCATAATCCTCGTGTGTGTGTGTGTGTCTGTGTGATGTTATGGTCCTTCTTTCCGCCACATAGCCATGGAAAAAATAAAAGCATGGGAAAGTGGAAGAAAATTGACTAAAATGTTTACCGAAACTGGGTCTGCTGGACCCTTTACAGGTCGAACCATATGTGAATTGCGCTTCTTCTTAAATCAAAACAAGAACTATTAGATCCTTCAAGCATGATTTGTAATATATCATATATTAGTGTAGAAAATTCTTAGTGTCTTTCAATTCCAGCTTTCCTGAGACTTACGGTTCAGTTAAGCGGGGGACACAGCAGCAGCACCCAAGGCAGTTAGTTGGACACATAATAGGTCAAGTCCTAAAGGTGAATCATGCAATATAGGATCTGCACAAGGCAACAGAAATGAGATGAGTGAAGTCTATAGCCTGAATTCATTCGTTCATCCGCGGCACCGCATTCTACCAACTCACGTAGACCAATGAGTTGCAGGAATTGAATAGTTGGCTTGGCGGTAGACTGGACTTGTGCGTCCACGGCGACCACCCATCACGACGGCGCGCCTGTCACTCACTGCTCGTATCCCTCTTTCCACCGAAACACAGGCAAAAAGATCATTGGCGATGGATTTGACCAGATGGATCCCGGTTCAAATTTCACTGGATGAAGGAGGAGGAAGAGGTTGAGAGGGTTCTGTAGACTTGGCGAGGACCGATGGGATGGAGAGCTAATCTTATTGTGTAGTTTTGGTGCACTAAATCCGCAACTGCGCAATCTGATGCAGACTCAGCGTGTCTCACAATCCCCTTCTGACTGTCCTGCGCTGCTTCTATTGCGGTGTCTTTTGGGAGTTCCAACGTGTGGTATTCCTGCTCATGAGTGTCTTCTTCCTTAAAGTCCCAAGTCCAACGCATCGTACACTCGTGGATGGGCGTGGTTTCTGTGCATGCTCGTAAGTTTGCAGTGGACGTGCGCAGTGGATGTTTTTAGAAGCGGGAAAGCGTTGTGGGGTTGTGTTGGTGAAGGAGAGCTGGACGAGGATCTTGCTGATGATGATGGGTGGTGAAGTGGGATGTTGAGACGCCAGGTTCGGCGTGAGCTTCAGAGAGAGAGAGAGAGAGAGAGAGAGAGAGAGAGAGAGAGTGTGTGCGAGAGAAAACGAGAAGGGGGTTTGTGTGGCAGATCTGTAGGTTGAATGACGGAGCAGCGGAGCACGGTGGACTTTGTGAGTGCCTTTCGATGCTAGATGATTTGGGGTTTGATGAGCGAAAGCGGATAAGTGGGGTTTTAGTAGGCGCGATGGCGACTGAAAGAATCCGCTGTTGAATGCATGAAAGAGACAGGTTGGCTTGGTTTTGGAGATTGCGATTTAGGATCCGGTTGCCATTTTCAATCGGATTCAGGTAGCTTGCAAGGTGGGCATTGAGAGTGATATCGTCTCACTTGCAAGTGGAACTAGTGCAATAGGGTCCTACAGTTCCCACTTATGGTTCGTATTCTTCAGTGTGCATCATTTCGATCCGATTTTTGAAACGTGCGACATCCAGAGGTCTCAAAGAGAAGAAGTCTAATTGAATTGGATTGGACTGAATTGGAGTTCGCAGATGCATGTTAGATCTGCAGTTTGTGGGCTAGTCAGAAAGGGATAGAGAACAATAGATTTGAAAGAGTTTCACCATTTGCTAGCTGACATGTACTCGTGGCACGGTACATGCAAACTCTGTAGTTTCTAAGGGGACCTAGGCTATGACGACTACATCGAGGAAAGAGTATCTTGGAAAGTGGAGGTCGGAGTAATGGAGGCATTAAGCTGCTTTTCCGCGTCTTTGTCTTCCTGCACTCGTCCAATTACTATAATCTGTCGGCATCGGAGACAGCAACTTACTTCCCCCTTGGCATTTCAAATACTACGTAGCAGCTGTCGAGTGAATCCAGACTAGGTCCGGGCACGTGGAGATCCATTACACATTATATCTGTGGTAGGTTAGCCATCTGCTGACACTCTTGGAAGCATTCCTCGATAACTTGAAGTTGACGCTGCCTTCATGTTACCATTGTTAATGGTTGTAGACGTGGAAAATCATCGAGGTGGGGTGGAGGTTGCTCCATGTGCAACAACACGTGTAAGTATACTTGTTACAAACAGTTTTTGTTCCTATCTTATCAAAATCTATAAAGTATGGAAGAGGATTCCCTGTCGGACGACGAGTTTCATGAGACATTTGAGGACATCAATTCCACGACTAGCTCAGATAGTGGGGACGACCTGGAGATGAGAACATCATCTATGAGAGTTGCTCCTTTGGCGGAGTCAAATCTTCAACCACATTCGACCCCTTCGGCTTTTCAATCCAAGTTTTCGATTTGGAAGGATGATCCTAGCAGTATACATGAGCGAAGGCAGCGGTTCTTTATGCAGATGGGTTTGAAAAGTTATAGAGACGATATATCACATGCCGATGTTCCCGACATTTCCGGGAGATTCGTCACCAACGGTGAGAAGGTTGTGAAAAAATTTCGGAATGTGGGCGAAAAAGTCCTATCAGGAGCTCGTACAGAGGAATTTGTAAGTACTCAACTGTATGTTCTCAGAATGTTATCATGGGTAGCTACGCCATTGCTAAACGACCGGTGTAACTGGCAAGTTCAAAAAGAGTTATAGAGTAGACCTTGGCATGGATGCTTTGCATGTTTCACCATATCATCGCAGTACTTCGCATTTGCATGGAGGCCAAAAGCTTGCATTAGTGCAGCAGCTATTGGGAACTCGATTTGGCTTAGACCCTTAGAATTTTTTGGTTGGATGATCAACGAACTTGTGATCGTCCAGAGGAAAAGGTATAGTGATTGGAATTCTGTTGTTTTACGACGAAGAATTCGTTGTCCCTAATGGATTCGTTACACACAGCTCAGTGATGTTGTTACGTTCCTCCATTCTAAAGTGGCTCACTATTATGAATGGATGCAGGTGAAGACAGACTCTGAAAAGCGTGGAGATGAACGGAAACGTATGGTTTCAGAAGACCGTGTGGAGGTTTCACAGCTTGGTGTAGATTGGGCTGCAAACATTTCTCTCAAAGGTGCCTTTGGTGTTGTCGTGGGGGAAGGGCATACTGAATCCAGTTCCAGATCTTCAGGTTCTGGATTAGCGGGGCAAATACCATGTGATTGTGCTGATTCTGTTAGTTATGGGATTCACAGCTTCCGTGCAAGATTTGTAAATAGATCAAACCGGGGTAGCATGCGCAAGAGTTCGGATAGCGGTAGATCTCTTTCGTTGGACGTTGGGTCACAATTGGACTTAGGTTACCACCATCGAGCATCCATTTCTCATGATGAGCTGTTACAGTTCTTCGACCCGGACTGTGGATACCAGAACGTCAGTTCTGATGGCTATTATGCCGTCGAGAACGTTATGGAGGAGCGATTGAAGATTCGTGACCTGGATAGTGGAAGGGAGTTTTTGATGAAAAGGTTTAACAGCGATGGGTCGCTAGATTTGCTTCGAGAGGTTGACACGGGTAAGGAGTTAACACTGGCAGAGTTTGAGAAGACTATAGGTACATATTCTCCAGTAGCACAGGTTCTCAAAAGACGAGAGCAATTGACTGATAGTCATGTGAGCGTGAAGAAACCTGTATTCAAGACTGCCAGCAAAGCTTCAGTCATACTGAAGCGGACAAACTGGTTGAGGAAGCTGAAGGGTTTCGTTAAGTCAAGGTCAGTAGATGGATTGGTTGGAGGTGGAAGTGAGCGAAGTTTTGCAGATAGTGTAGATGATTCAGATACATCTTTAGAGTTAGAAAGCATTTCCGAGGACATAACTCCTAGAGTCTCAAGGGGTAGTCCACTGGTAGGTATGGATAGAAATGAATCAACTACACGAGGTTTGACTCTAATGAATGACATTAGCGACTCTTTTTGGAGAAGACCTCAAAAGGTGAAAGTAAAGCTGCGCCACAAAAGTTCCAAAGACCTCGGCAATCTCCACTTGAGTCAAGAAATTTTAGCTCACCAAGGTGCAATATGGACGATGAAATTTAGTCCTGACGGCCGCTACCTAGCCAGCGCTGGCCAAGATCGGGTTGTCCACGTCTGGGAAGTTATTGATCATCCATTGGTGGCTGAGTCAGGTGAGCATCTTGTAAACATCTTGTCGCTCAGATTTGAGTCAATCATTCTGTGTCTCATTCAAAGAGAACTCAACGGAAAGGAAAATCCTCTAAAGCGTGGAACCAATGATCGAGGAATTTTCATTTCGAGTGAGAGTGATGTGGTTAAGAGCAGAAACCTTCTTGTATAAGTGGTATGGCGTGTATTTGCCTGCAGTTGTAATTAATATCCAATTTTGTTTTCACGTTTCTTGGTTATTGTAATAGGTTGGGAGAAAACGGTTGGTTTCCATACGTTAGTACACCCAATATTTCATTTGTGTGGATGTACAGGCAGTGCAGTTCACACATAGCATGAATTGGCCAAGGTCTTGGGTGGCATTCATCATTCAAAATGCATCTCGAGCACTTGTGTTCCACTTCGATGTTTCGTGTAAATTCCTCTCTCATAGATATGATTGTTAGGGGTGGCTTACGTTCACTAGTTATTATGTTTCGTATAGGCAGATCACGACAGAGTCCCGCATCAATTGTTTAGCTGATTATCCAAAACACATCAGTCTGTCAGAGTTGAGAGATTTCCCTGCTGATTACCTGTTGCTTAGATCTTTCATAGAAGCACTACGGTGCGGTTTAAAACTACCATGCTTGCGAATGATGTTTGTTAATTTTAGAATTTTGTTTACAGATCTTTGGAGTAGTGGTCAGAAGGTTGAGAAAAGACTGGGGCGGAGGGATGGTAGCGTTAAAGCCAATAACGATGGAAGCGTTAAGGCTGGACGATGTAAAAGTTTTACTAAGTGGGATATTAAAGGGAATTCTAGAAGTGGAAATGGGACGCCCCAGAAACAGAGGTCAAGCAACTATAGCGAGACCCAAACTCCTAACCTCCTTTGGCTCTCTGAGAAACCCACTTGCTCTTTCCGAGGTCACACAGACGATATCTTGGACTTGTCATGGTCTCAAAGTCAGGTATTCTTTGACAAATAACTTATTAGTTTGTAATTGAACTTAATGTGAACGATCTTAAGGAATGATCCTTTGTCATAACTTGGTGTAGGTTTATCATCATTGTGTCTGTTTTCGTCTTCACGAAAGTATAGTAGGACATGAACAGCTCTTAACAGGCATTTGATTTCACTTCATTTCAGTTTCTTCTGTCTTCATCGATGGACAAAACAGTTCGCCTGTGGCACATTTCATACGACGTGTGTCTGCGAGTATTCTCACACAATGATTATGGTAAGGACTTGTAATACTAGTAATTACTGCAGTATAAGCGTATTTTTGCTAACGCAGTTGCAGTTCCGAAGATTTGGGTCTCTACGGGTGTAATTTTGGATCATATGAATGTAAGCTACTTTGTTTTCTTTTCTTGTTTTACTTATTTAGTAGATTTTAAGTACACGTTCTAATAAAATTTGGTGGGGTTTTTGTGTATCCTGTGGCAGTTACTTGTGCACAATTTAATCCTGTTGATGATCGATATTTCATTAGCGGGTCGCTTGATGACAAAGTCAGGATCTGGTGCATTCCCGATCATCATGTCGTTGACTGGAGTGATCTGCAAGAAATGGTCACAGCTGTATGCTATGCTCCAGATGGAAAGGTATCTTGATTATTTCCTTGTTTTGTTATGTTTGCACTAGTTACTTTTGTGACGACCTGATGCTGTCTCGAGCTGAGCATTTGACGGTTTGTAGTGGTGTGTCGGTTTCAGAGGGCGGTTGTTGGTTCCCACAAAGGGACCTGTCGCTTCTACAATACCACAGGTTTGTACATGGTTTTGAAGGTTGTGATATCTGTTGGCAGTTATTGAAGGGGCATGTGGTATCATAATGTTAGTCACAACTTAGCCGCTACAGCGTAGGTGATTGTGTTAGTGCTAGCATGGAGTGGGGCCTAGAAGTTTCACGCGTAGTGTCTCTATTAGTCGTGTTCTGAAGTAGACTCCACTTTTTCTTACTCGTAGGATAGAATCGTTGTGTTGCAGGGAATAAGTTGCAGCTGGATGCTCATAAAGACGTTCGTGACGAGAACAAGAAGGGAGCGGGTAAAAAGATCACTGGAATACGTGTATGTCTACAGTCTCAAATCTCATTGGTTCATTTGTCCTTCAAATACTACTCATATGTCAACAGTATGGATGAGATGTAATTTTGTTTCAATCGTCCCGACTCAACATTAAACCTGGGCAGTGTTTCGTCTGTATGATGCATGAGTACACAAGTTTTAAGTAATTGTCTTCTACTACGCTTTTCATTAATTAACTAATGAATTTTTTGATCTACACATGGCTTCGAATTAATTAATGGCATATGTTTTATCGCAGTGTATGCCCGGGGACCCGCATAAAGTTCTTGTCACATCAAATGATTCTTGTGTTCGTATTTATGATGGCCTGGATTTGGTTGCGAAATACAAAGGTACTTACCTGCATTTGATTCTCATCTACAGTCTGTTAAAACTATTGCTTTCTCTCATATTTCTAAGAGGTATTTTTGCCATTGAATCAATTCAGTTGTCTGTTCCTGCATGCTCTCTCTGCCTGCGAGGCCGCAGTTCTCTTGTATTGAGACCTTCTATCGTTTACTATTCCATTTCAGGTTTACGTAACGTCAAGAGCCAGATTTCGTCGTCGTTTTCTTCGACAGGTGACTTCATCATCAGTGCCAGTGAAGACTCACGGGTCCTGGTATGGAATTCTAATAAGAAAGATATTTCAAATAGATCGTCTGTCTACCGAAGAGACAAGCAACTGGCCTGTGAGGAGTTCACATCACGCTATGTATCAGTCGCAATTTCTTGGCCGGGTTCTTCAACCCACCATAATAGTTCACTTTCAGTTCTTGAACCTCCTGGCAAGTCAGATAGGTTTGGGACGGCGCAGGTTACAAGTGAACCCGGATCATCTCCACGGCGGGAAGAGAATGTGGTGATTGGCACGAAGGGCCTTGGGGAGCAGTCAAAGGGCCCATCGTATTGCTTAAGATCTCCTATGAGGATTTTTTATGGCAGAAAAAGTAGTGTTGCCGTGGCTGACGAATTTGCTTCAACAAAGCAAGTCGGGAGTGATTATGAAAAAAAACATGATAATCAGCGCAATACGTCTCAAGTAGACGTTAGCTCCAAGGTTTTTGGTCCATCCCCTCCATTAGACGCTCGTCAGAGTTCTCCTTCCCACATGCAGCAGCGTTGCACAAGCTTCTTCCTTGAGAGTGGACCCAAAGGATCTGCTACATGGCCTGAAGAAAAACTTTCTACTTTCAATAAACAAGTATCTTCAACACCAACTATGACACAGTCGGCATCCATTGGCAGCAGCATGACTGCGCACAGTGGAAGGGAGGTGCATCCTCTTGCGGACTTGGCCACTGTTTCCGCTGCCTGGGGATTAGTTATAGTGACTGCAGGATTGGGAGGTAATATAACAACATTTCAAAATTACGGCTTTCCTGTCCGGCTTTGAACATATAACGGCGCTTGATTTAGTGCCTCATGCTCTTAAGCTGCTGAATTTAACAGCAATTAACATCTGTTCATATTTTCATATTCTGTTGCCATGCTACATGCATTGTAGATGGTGGCTGTTCTTCTGCCGAGGATAACAGCAAATATCTGCTGCTGGCCTTTGTTTTCTCTGATATGCTGTACTTTCCATTTACCAGACTTTCGAAGTGGTCAATGAACATTTCAGATTGGTGTCTATTGTTAGTTCACTCTTAGCATCCCTGGATATGCGTCTTAGCTTTGAATATCCTCGCCATCTTTTTCTGTTGGGCTCCATGGTCTCTCTTTTCAGAAATGAATCATTTGAAACCTTTAGTGCGCAGTCACTCCCTTTCAGGCTTGAGGTGGAATGGTGGGAACACGTGACGAAGTGCCTCCCCACTATTTGAGCTCTTCTGTCTCGTAACTATGACCCTGCAGTCAGAAGCTCGTAGCATCGAAATGTCGTTCCTTTGGGCCTGAAATTCTGGGGCTGTTTTTGAACTTGAAAAGATGATGTTAATAAGGAATTTTTAATTACGAAGTTTGGTTTTAAAGGCTTGTTTAGGCTAAGCTTTAGAATATGAAGAGGCGTCGAAGGTGTTGGATTTGAGGAGCTGGGTTTGAGATTAGGAGATTGGTCGTCGGAGATAGAGTTTTGTCACGGAGCGTGAGAATGATGCTAACTATGCCGAGTGAAAACGTCGCGACAGGTATTTTATTGACAGTCGTGTGCCATGGTTCCTCGGCAGATACTGTCTTTGGAAGCGGGTTAAGATTTCGTGGACCTCGTCATGTGGTTCCTTGCTCTATCATAGTCCTCAGCGTTAAGTTCTTGTCTTGCGATTACACTCCGATTGCTCAAAATGTTTCGATTTGAAGAAACATGTACTGGCTTTCGAGGAGATTACATTTGAGATGGACTAACTCCTGTTTAGGTCCCCTTCAGTGGGGTGGGTGCTTTTTTGACTTGCCGAAGTGTAAACGGTATATATTCAACGTTAAATGAGCGCATCCCCAGGCTGTAGGCTTACACTCCAATCTCCATTGCTCTCCATGCAGCGCAGCATTCTAGAACTGCGTGTTGGATCACTACTATTGAATGGTTAGCTCAGCTTTTGAAAATATCGCTGAGCAGAAATTGTTCGCATACTTCAGCAATCAATGCAGCTGAAAGCAGAGGTATTTCTTAAAAATTCCTGTAACCTTGTAATGATAAAATTGTCTGTAACTCAAATTCCGTTGAAATGATTTTTACGAAATGATTTATCTTTATTGTAATATATCAGGACTGAAATCAAACGCCCACGTCATTGGAGTAAGATTACAACGCGATGTCTGTCGGTTAATGGCAATTAATTAGCAGAGTGTCCCAGTGACATCAAGAAATGAGACAAGTTCTTCAGTACTGACAACCTGAAGATCCTTCTCTGCTGATGCAGAACGGTGCTTTGACGGCTTTGGACTTGCCTTAGTAGAAAAGGTTAAATTTATCTCTAGATTTCACTGACCTCAGAAAAACGCATACATTTTGAGAGGTAGTGGGTGGGAAATCATAACACAGAGGTGTTAATCTTTTCTTGCAAGGAGGCAGATGCTGGAGAGGCAAGTTGGTGAAGGGGGTACTCTCTTCTACATTGCTATGTGTGTGTCTCCAGCTGCTTTCCTTTCACATGCTAAACTACTTGTGATTCTTTCCCATGTCACACCACCATGGATTACATTACCAACAAATCCCTCACTCATTCAGGTGTGTCATACTTTATGATGCTGCGACTTCTGATCTGAATCATTTCTATCTCTCTTAGAAACTTGCAAGCCAGTTTGCTTCTTAATTAGTTATTATCAAAAGGTGACCTTTTACCTCATCTTAGAAAGTCTGGATTGAGGATCTCCATAGTTCTAACCAAAGCCACATTGTGTCAAAATCACCAGTCTCTAATGTTACACCAGTCAAATGACATACTACATACAACAAATGAAAGCAGGTTTATTGAACAAATATCGTTCTAATTCAATTATACATCAAATTTATATCTCAAACGATAATTGGATTACATACCTAATCAAGTCTCACAATTGAAAAGAAACAATTAAAATTAAAACTGTGTGTTAAGTCTTTTATGATTGACTTGTCTTAAGTTTTTTTTTTCTCATGGAAAAGGGGTGGACCTTTTGAAGGATTTTAGTAGTAGTATTTCTACTTTCTAAACTGTAAACATATTAAAATTTATGATATTACAGATTTTTTTTACCTGTCCGACGCAAAAGTTTATGTATTTATAATAACCGCCGTGTGTGACCATAAATGCACTCCATACATTAGGGAGAGCTCCAAGTTATACAATTACTTGTCATGGATCAGGAAATATACATGTTATAATGAGAGCTTGTTGTAGGGTACATTATTGTGCTTTCAAAATTTTAATGGCACTGTTCTATTTGAACATAGTTACATGACAAGGTTATTTGATAATAATGGACCTGTCTTTCTTAAATTAAATATTGTATGTGGTTGTTTGGTCTTGTTTCAAATTTACTTGACATGAAAAATTATGTTGTTTTATCAACAATGGAGATGTACATTAGAACATGAGTTTCAATTCCTGAGTTGCTATACAGTAAAACTAGATGGACAGTTACTGTTGAAGCTAATCTCCTAGCCATCAACAACATTTCAAAATTTAGTATGTACAAAGGAAGATTAGATTATGATACTTCAAGATGCATCATTTCATGCATATTATGGAGGGATAGAATCCATTCTAGGAGCACAGCTTGAAGTGATTGAAGCTATACTTGTGTGTTAGAAATAACAATGTTCTTAAAAAATTGACACAATGAAGTAATCACTTAACAATTTTATTGCATCAAAAATATAAAGAAATCCCTACACAATTCAAGTCATTGAAAGCATCAATCACTATACAAAGTGGCTGCTGCAATTTTGTGTACACATACATTGAACACATAAAGAATCCCTCACATTTAACAGTAAACTGATGAACGGACACAAAACAAATGTGCACATAAAACATGTGTCTGTTCCAGAAGGACAAATCTGTGAGTAAAGATAAAGCCATTCATCAATGTGTAATTCATAAATGCTGACTTTATCAATTAGATTGCCTATTTAAGCTGGCCCATAAGCTGAAGTGGTCTAATCACAGCCTGCTTGTGAAGCAGCGCCGCATCAGGCAATGAGACGTCGAAGCTCAGATGTCAAAGATCACCGGAGCATCTAGAGAAAGGCTATGGTAAGCTCACCAGTATTGGTGATATTTCTCACTTCGACATCGACCGGAGCGAGTCGATTCTATTGTAGAGAACACTCTTGCGTGCTTCATATTGCTCCTGCATGACTAGTGTCACTTGTTCCACTGTGTCCCGGATCCTGAAATCGATGTACTCATCCAGGTTGTTGGGTGGTCGTTTCGGCTCCGAAGTCTTGTCTCGCCACGATTGAGCTTCAGCTTCAGGGACCTGTCTTTCGGCTCCTCCCTGGACCAGTTCTTTGCAGTGTAATTCTTTCGATTCCTGCTCAGCTAAATGTGATTAATAACCGTTGATGTTGGAGGGATCAATTAGCGATGTAAACTCTGAAAGAAGCACCTTTGCAGACTGTGAATCACGTTATGAGAACTGAGTACCCGATCCAAGTTGATTTCCTCGATGGTATTGAACTGCTTGAGCGGTTTTAAGAATTTGTCGTCTGGAGGAGTGTTGATATACACTTCTTCACAATACCGCCACTGTAGAGATTCTCGGTTGAAGAGGTTTCTGTACAATCTGTGATGCTGAAATACTCTGCACACATAGACGAAAATAATGCTGCTATCGATCAACGTTTGTTAGAATTTGTGGTTCTGGGTGCTCATTATCTATGGTTTTGCTCTAAACATTACGGATTTATGGAATTTTAATGACTGGGGAAGTTTACAAGCAGCTAAACCGTTTGCCTGTCATGGGAATAGTGTGTCACTTACGTCTCCATGAAGAACGGAACTATCTTTTGCAACTCAATTGTTGTGAGGACCGCCACATGGGCGGTGCTTTTCACCTTCACACTCCAGCTAAATATCATGCTCTTGAATATCTTCTCGATCTTCTTCATGCTTGCACCCTCTGCGATCCAAACAAATCGGAATTCCATGAATGTAGAAGCCGGTATTTACTACATGTTCGTAATTGTAGCTTCAATCCATGTCGCTCTGTGATCGAGAGGTCGAAAGAAACTAAACTGAAGCAACATGATCTGGACATAGTACACAGTTGAAGAAAGTCCATGAGTACTACCTTGTCGGACGTCGATGATGAGCAGAGAGATTTTGTTTTGTTTATTTTCTAACCATTTTCTAATGCCATATTTGCTGATGAATTGAGCAATGGCAAGGAAAGCTTTACTTTTGATTTTCTCGAGTACTTCCATTGCCAACTGATACACAAGCAATGTCTGCGCTGGGCGAAAATGCTCCTCCTGCGCAAACCTGATAAACTGGACCGAGGGGAGTAAGATGCGCATCAAACCACTGCGTATAAGAATGTGATTGGAAGGCAGCACAGTCCATGAACATTGATCTACTAACTGCAGAACACCAATTCCTTCAATTATGTTTTTAATACCACACCAGTACCCTCGATTCCAGATTAGGTCAGAACGAGTCGACAATTCGGAGTTGGAGCCAGAGCGGAGACAAATACATCAGGACGCCAACAAAGTAGTCAAGTACACACGCAGTCTTTCCCTCGTACGTGAAGTTTGGCAATTTGAGAACTTCAAGTGCCAGAAACCTGTGAAACCACAAAAAATTATGAACCATTGATAGAGTGGTCAATCAAAGTCTGCAGGCTTTACTCTGATCCCAAGTGTAGGCAAATTGGTAGACAAGACTGACGACACTAGACAGCGAAGAATGTGTCATACTTGTTTGCTGCTGCATTGCCGATGGCAGCTTTCTCGTAAAAGCCTGCCAACTGCTCCTCCGACAGCACTTCACAGTATTCTAATCCCTTACCCTGTACTCCTGCGACTGACTTCCCTTCCTTCACCTCGCCCTGCGACGGTGGCTCCTCCGCCATGACTACGTCACATCACTTCCTCTACAGACTCAGGCACGATCGTCAATTCCGCGTTTTAGAAATCATACCGACCATTCAGTTACAGATCCCTTCAGTTGATCCTCACGTCAACTGCACCCACAGAGCCTTCCAACTGCGGATTCGACCGATTTGGATGGAACAGTAAGCAAGCAAACCAAACAAAAACCTACGGTATCTCTCAACGACGCGATTATTCTATCTACGTTGTGGAATGAGGAGAAGAATTTGTGGGTACCGAATTAAATATTAACAGCCCAATTTAGCCGCCACCCATGAGTGTCACAAGCATATCTTCAACAGGTAGTAGAGACATTCGAAGCCTAATTTCGTCACACTTCGATCAGACGCGAGAACATACAGCGTCGTTCTACTGATTGCACCTCCAATTATGCCTGAGAAAATAAAAGCAAATCAATCCCTGATTCCGCAGGCATGGGTTTTATTTTATTTTATTTTCCTGTCAAGACGGGATCTTTCATAACTCAAAACTCTTTACATACACATTCTTCCGTGGAAAGTTGATCCTTTGCCAATTTTGTACAGGTGGGATGTTGGGTAGATTGGAAAAAACAGTATTTTGTCAGGGCACATCTGATCCGATTCTCTAAGGAAACAGTAGATTAGGATTGCTTTGATTCCTCCGAACAGCATAATTTAGGGTTGGGATGATGGAGGCAATGGCGCAACAGATCATTGAGGTCAAATACAATAGTAAAAACACACCATGTTACACCAATTTACTACTGGTTTAGTTGAGTTTTTTTAATTGTCGTGTACTATGTGTCTGTTAATGCGATTAGGTTTGGTATAACAGTTAAGAACTTTCGTGGTTGTGATGGGGGAAAAATCAATTTTTGAAGATTTGTCATCAAAATTTTGGTTTCTTTGCGACTGTAATACATGTGTGTTTTCTTTTTCCAGCAAGGTTAAATTGCAACTCTTTTGTAACTGTTATTTTAACAACGTGTGTAGTTTAATTGTTCATAGATATGGATGCATCAAGATATTCTACATGTTCACATGCTTTGCTGTATTTTCTCATGAATTTTGAATTGGTCCCCATTTTATTACATCATATTTTCATAAGGCAGTTTAGGTCTCACTAATTGTAGATTATGTAAAGCCAAGTTTGAATGAAGGAGCCACAGCTTGTGTTTGTTTAAATGACATAAATGACCTTTGATTACTACATAATAGAAAACCAAGTCATACGAAAAAGTCAATTATACAATGTGTTGTTCAAAAGATGTTTAAGCATTAAATAGATATGTTGGTGATGTTCTTCTTTACATCACTTTTCAGAATTTTGTATCCATAATTTTAGACCTATTTTTAAAAGAATAAGTATTGCATCACCATTTAATTTGGTCATTGCAATGTTATAGCATTAACAACTTTGTTCTTATTCTATTTCATGCTTGTATTTTTTGTTTTTTACAAATTTTATATCATTACGATTATTAACAGATAACAAGTATAAAATATGAGGCTCAGGCTACAAGCACACCTCATGTTGCTACATACACACCCAAAAAACGTGGAGGCTTGTGATTACTTGGGTATAATAATGTGGCCCCTTGCAAGGGCTTTTGAAGGCGCTGCCCTTGCGAGAAAATTTGAATCTAGTGAGAAAGTATATCATCATTTTTTTGCTGACTTTTACTGCACCACACATATTGTTGCTATTTTGCATTGTGGTGATCCTCACCTCAATGTCAATGACAAACTTTATACCATCGACCACTTCCTGAACTTAGATTTCAAAGGGCATCACCTCCAAGTTGATCAAACTGGCTATAAGAGCAACAACTTATTTAGTTTGTGTGGTGATGGGCCACAATACATCTCTTACCATATCTTTTATTAGATTTGAGCTGGAGTTATAAAGCTTTATAAGATAACATATTTTAATACATTGAGCCTTTTTAATTGTAATTGATTTTGTTTCAATGAACCAAAAGTATTCAATTGTGAATTGTGAATTATGATCATCATAAATGTGATGATTTTGAATATAATATAGTTTGATTATAAACTACAAAAACCTACTACCCTCCACCCCTCACCCCCCACACTTATATTAGATGACAAGGTCCACATAATAATACCCAATCAATCATAAGCCTCCACATTTTTTGGGTGTGCATGTTGCAATATGGGGTGTGCTAGTAGCTTGAGCCAAAATAAAACATTTTATATAGATGGTTTGCTACATAATATAATATAATTGAACATTGTTTGTCTATGATAACATAGCTAATTTTTATATGTAATATATTTTAATACAATGGGTCATCCTAGATACTTAAACAACTCCTACAAATATATATATATATATATATATATATAGAATCAAACAACCCTCTTTACTATAAAATTATAACAAAATAACATGATTGTTTCATTATATATTGAACAAAATACCAGTTTGATAGATTCAAAATTACCAACTCAATGTAATGATTTTTGCTGATTTAGAATAAAACTAAGAAAACAAAATTTTCTTTGAGGATAGGTGGGTGTAACAGGGGTACACATGCCATACCAGTTTATTATAATAAGCAGTACAAGAGGGAAGACATGAAGCTACCTACAAAAGTATCAAGAAAATGATAATATGTAACTACTTCATTTATAATAAAAAAAATTGTATTAGAAAAAAACTTGTATTTAAAAAACCAAAATCTGAAATTTTTAATTTAAATTTAGATAAATTAAGATTTAAAAAATAAACACATACTAATATTTTGTTAAAAAAAAACTTAAACTATTTAAAATAATAATTAAAAAAATCTATTCTTTTGGTGATGAAATATATGTAAAAAAATTATTACATTTTTATAGATAATTTCTAAATATTATGCCAAAAGCCATATATATATATATATATATGTATATATCAAAATATATTCATAACATGATTTTTCTAAAAGATAAAATAAAACACATGTTTATTTTGTCTTATTAATAAAAATAAATTAAAAATATAGAAGTCTTATATTACTATTAGACTTTTGTTACATAGATAAAACAACATCTAAACTATTATTAAGGCAAGAATTTGAGACCACAATGCATCTAGCAAATAATAATATTCTACCATGTGAGGTCTTGAGTTCAAATCCAACATCTCATAGAGACTACTCCATTTTATTTATTAAAGTTTGTCACATTCGCTATGTTATTTTCAATATCTTCAGTTTGACACTCTATCTGTAGCTACCATGGCCATATTAAGAAGACATGCCAAAGGATTTCAAAACTTAACAATTTCTTTAATTGAATGCATATGTACAACAAATATCTGTATTATTCGTGTACAAGTTTAAAAATTGTTTTTCCTTCTTCAACTTTTATGCCAATACTAAAAATAATGTCATCTTTAGTGATAAATTTGGGGAAGAGAATGTTACTCCCCTTTTGCTGCCTAAAATTGTGTCTTAAAATGTGAGATAATTCTCTTTAATTCGTTGGTATGAATAGAGAGGCTTTGCAATATGGTTAGAGTGATCCTCACTTCATTGGAGGTCACCCACTTAAATCCAAGCAGCAGTAGGCCAACGCATTTCTTTAACAAGTCATGTTATTTATTTTGAAAAGATAACTCTACCATATTCCCTTGGGTTCTGCACGAAGAATGATGCTAACTAAGAATTACATGTCTGGGAGTTACTGTATCTGAGGAAACAAGTTGATAAATGCGTGGCTCTTTATTGGCGGTGAGGATGGAGTGGGTTATAAACTCTCAAAAGAATGGTCTAGTATACAGGTCTAGTAAGATGGTATCAATGTCGTTCAAGGAAGTTCTAATACATCACTGGAACTGTCCTCCTGCCCGGAGCGGCACTGGAGGGAGAAGCGGGCTCTTCCTGTTGCCGTGCAACACGAACCATCTCCAGAACATGGTCCACTATAACACCATCGATGCCCCAACTTTTTTGTTTAAGAACTGCTTCTCCGAAATTGCTGCAAAAAACAAGCGCATCCTATTTTAGTTACCTCGCCATTTAGCCCTCACTAGATTATTTCATGGGACAGTAGGCAAAATAAAAATAAATAAATAAAGGTGGGATATTTGAGATAGTGGTAGGGAAACAGATGTAGACGAAACTTACTTTAACTCGCCGTAAGTAAAGAAGAACAATCCTTGAGATTTTACAAGGGCAACCGAAGCCGGATGCTGCAACACCGCTTTCACTTCGCTTACAATTCCTTGCAGGTTCCCTTCCCTACACACTTCAATGGCTGCTTCAATGGAATTCCTTCTGGGATCGTTGTAAGTCTGGCTTCCGCCGTTGGTGAGGAAGAACACCGGGTACAGCGACATCTTCTTGCGAAGAATTTGCACAGCGTCGGGGTGGAAACTGGAAAAGTAGATCATTCTGCCGTTCGCAAGCTGCCTAACATCCTGAAGCACGGCATCAATCACACGGTGTAACTCCTCGACGGTGGTTGAGCCATCATCGCCAAATTTCAGCTCAATGTTGAATCCAGTGCTTGGTTGCACTTCAGCAAAGGCCTCGGCGAGGATGCACATAGAATCTTCGACGTCCGTGGTCCAAAGGGCTATCGAGCCATCCACCGCTTTTCGGTAAAGTGATTTACTAACTTTAGTTGATTCGGTTTGTGGTCCCATACCACGAAATTCCTCCAGAGTAATTTCTCTGATGTGTCTTGGAATTTGATCTTCGGCAACAATCACGTCATCGTGAAAGATGATCGGGATGCCGTCTTTGGTCACCTGAACGTCGAACTCGACAAAATCGGCTTCATTTTTGGATGCCAAATTGAAGGATGTGATCGTATTTTCTCGTATAGAGAGTCTGGTTTCAGGAGTTGAACCTTGAGGAAGGACCTTGTTCTTGCCACAACCACGGTGGCCAACTACGACAAACATTGAGCTTGTCTCAAAGGTCTCAGGACTCATCTGATAATCAGCTCTTAACGCCAAGTTCTGGCTATGGTCCATCACAACATTCCAAGAAGATCCCGCAGCTGCACAAGTTGATTCATCAGCATCAAAATATTGAGTAGAACCCCAAATCACTGGCCCACCAATGTCAATCATGCAAGCACCGATTAAGTGTCCAGATTTCGCTGAGTTACGGCTGACCAACTACAGCTCTTGGAGGATATGATAAAAAGAAGAAGAATAAAAGAAAAAAGAAAAAATACGCAATGATATAATCACTTACAATCAATGCTCACCAGCTTCATTCCCGATCATGGCCATTGGATATTGCAACCTCGATTTCTTGCTTCCGAATTCTGAACTTCTTTTCTTGCAACTACGCTCACCTGACAACTTCACGATGGCTTCATCAAGGAGAGAAAAATGTGAACCGGAAGACGAAAAGAAGACACTTTGATCTACCGAACTTCTAGCACTCTGCTGCACTCTCGTCGTCACAGGTGACTTGGGCGCACAAGTACACGAAAGAAGCGCAACACCATGAATCCCACCTTGCATTGACCTTCAAGAGCTAAATACTCCACGAAATCATCAACCCGAAAAATCTAAAACCACCTCCTCAGTCACATTCAACCACCTAACAATCAATCAATCGGCGAGAATAAAATTATCTTACTGATCAAACTTCCACTCCGAAAATCCAAGACTCCCACTATCTTCCCCCGGAAGTCTGTCAAGAAGCACCCCCCGAGCCTGACTCAACACAGCATCAAGTGGATGCAGAGACACGCGCACACCGCAACTCAAAACAGGGGCATCCCAGAAGCCAATTTGAGAGCGAGACACCATTTGTACCAAGAGAGTGGATCGGGAGGAATTTGTTTCGCGAGTGCGTCGCGTCGCTTCGAGTAGCTTGCAATGCAGCATTCCCACGTGGTGATCGAAGGAAGGAGCTGGGAAAACTCGAGAGGTTTCGGTATCCGGGATCTTCCTTTCGCATATTCCTCGGAATTTGGGCAGTTCGGCAGACTCTTCGGGCAGTGAAGGGGGGGGGGGGGGGGGGGGCTGAGCACGGCGTTTCTGTTCCAACTGGAGCTCAAGTGTGACGCGCTGTATCACCGCCCTGATTTGCCGCGTAGGAGAGACTTTGGGGACGACGCTGGCTCATTACTCCCCCTCCAGCTCACCTTTCAAGTTTTTTGTTTATTATTTGGTGTTTTTCATGCTTGTTGTAAAAACCAATGAAAAATCAATTTCTCAATGATTTTCATTTCAAAGTGGATCATGAGGCTAGACCAAAGTCATTACATGATTAAGTGATTATTAGATACAAATTCTCTTTAGAAATACTGATAAAATTAACACTTGGAATAAGTAAATTCTTTTCATAATTTTTTTTGTAGAAATGTTAGAAAAGCACAAAAATTATGTTGTCTTCAATATTAACAAAATAGGTTAAATTAAAACAACTACCATCCTTTTTATGATAATTATATTATATGTGCTATAGAACTTAAAATCTATACTAATTTCAAAATATATGGATACTAAGAATCATAGAAATTTTATAGAAAATATTAGTGGACAGATCTTGAAGCCTCTAATAAACCTATATTAAAGTGATTGGTTTATACTATCAGGGAAAAAAATAATATTTAGATAGATTTAAAAATACTAGATTAGCAAATAGAATAATCAGTCTAAATACAAAATTATGGTTAATACTACATGAGGTTGTTGAAGCTTTTGCAAATAATAAGATATACTCTATTGAAAATATTATATTTTAGGTATCACCAATTTCAATCAGTTAAGAAGGATAGGGATTTTAACAACTACATTGAGTTGTTGTACCAACTACCTGGGTTGGTAAAAATTTACTTATTTCCATCAAGAACAATCAACTTTATTATTTATATGCAAAGTGCAACAAAATAAAATCCTCAAGGATTATGTATACAAGAACATATTATATCTTATAAATAATATTGTAATAAAATATTGTGAAACAAAGACATAGAAGAAACAATCACAAAAAACATGTAAAAAAAGTTTATAGTAGACATTATCAAAAATGTAAATATGATATTGTAGAAATTTAAATAAAAAATATTTAAAAAGAAAAAAGAAGAATAAACTAATATTAAGATTTAAAATATAATACATAGCAAAATAAATTTTAGTATGTACAAAAAAAATACTAATAGTACATCACAAAACTTGTTTAAATATATTAAATATATATATAAAAAATAATAATCTCGTTTTTACTTAAGAAGTAGTCAATTTGAATATTTTTTGTTGTAAACATAAAACTTAGTTAGAAATAAATAACCTTGCCTAATTTTCTTTTTTAAACTAATAAAAAATACATATAGTATATTTATTTATTTATTCAAAAAAATAATAATTTTTAGAAAAAATATCATAGATGTCCCTCAAATATGCTAAAATATTAAGAATATCCCTATATTTTTGATAATAGCAAATACATCACTTAGATTTGTAATAATAGCTAATATATTCTTATTAGTGTTAAGGTATCACCAACATTCCTTGTTTAGTCATTATTTGGGGCCCAAACCATATGTCTTGTAGATTTTGTTGCATCCCTTTTTGACTTTTCAAGAATTGAAAAAATCTTGTATCATTTTTTTTGTCAATTTGCAAACCACGCCTTGCGCCACAAATTCTTAGTGGCATTGTTACTCCCCTCTCCCTTACAACACTTTTCACCCCACTTGCTTGCCATACAACTTCTTTCATCTACATTCCACCATTCCAAACCCTGTCCACTCATCTTGCCTTTACTCCAATTTCCTTCACTTAACAAAATCAACTCCTTCATATGTTCATGTATATTAGATCAACCAATATGCTAGACTATATCCAAAGCTCCTTCAAAATACCGTTGGAGTTATTGATTCACAATCATAATATGATGGAGACTTGCTTGTAGTTGCATAGTGAGGTTGTGCCATTCCTAAAGTGCAAACTAATGGAGGCATGATATTATAAGGGTGCAAGTTTGTAGGATTGAATGTACCCAAACTATCATCTAGGCAAGCAAACTTCTTCTATTACTCAGGTGACAACATTAGCTTGCAAAGTTGACTAACTACTCCAATAGTGAGCCCCTTTTGCATTTGCGTTTCGGATTGAAAAGAGGTATGACAAAATTTGCATGACTTACAGTTTGGGCCCTATATAACAACTAAACAAGGAATGTTGGTAATATCTTATCACTAGTAAGGGTACATTACCTATTATCACAAATCTAAGGAATATATTTGCTATTATCAAGTATACAAGGGTATTCTTATTATTTCAATATATTTGAGGGGTATGTATGATATTTTCTCTAATTTTTATTCTAAGAATATAGATGTTTCATATTCTAAAGCACCCATTTGTTTATTTTCTGTTTCTATCATTTTTTCATCTGGCACAAACTACTGCCCTTTACAAGTGCATAATAAATATATCTTTCTTTTTTCCGTTTTTCAAAAAATGCGTCAAGGGTGAATCAATCCCACAACAGCAATTCCTGGGTAATCAATGACACTGATGCAGACAGGTTCTGTTATCTTCTTCGTCTTCTTGGCTTTTGGTTCTATTGGTGGAGGTGCCCATCAATCCCACATGTCACCAATCTTATTATTATTATTATTATTTTGGCACATTTTACCAGTATTATAATAATAAACCAGAAATCTAGGCAGATTCCATTATGCTTCGCGTCAACCACGCTGTATTAACTGTCTATTCCAAACTGCCATTCAATTGTGGATGGCTTGGATTGCCACGGCTGCCCCCACCCACTTATCCCATTCCAGCATTCCCTACGATCCTATCCACAAGAGGGAACCAACGAACAAATGAACGAACGAATTTATTGATTCGTCCATTTCCAACGGCTTCCATACTTTTTCCGTCCGTCCGTCCGTTTGTGCAGATTCCTGTTAATCCACATCGAAACAAGAGAGATCAGAAACGAACAGAGATTGGCTGCGAAGCAGAGGTGGTAGAGGTGGTGGTGGGCATCGGTCCCGTGATGCGAGAGCAGAAGCAAGCAAGCTGGAGAGATAGATGCCTCCTATCTCCTAACTCAAAGGCTGGATGCCAAGCCTGCCGTGCAACCGAATCTGTGCTCGTGAACCTGGTGGGTGGGTGTCACTCTATCAATGCCTTTTCCGCCTTTCTGACCTTTTGAGGCCACAAGTGGTTTCTAGGGGATTGCATTTGCACGGCTCTGGACATCGAGGCCAACAAGCATAATTGGGTTGTGAAAAGAAGCTGGCTGATGTCTAGAAGTTTGTTATTTATTGTAGTAAAATATTCTAGTGAATTTTTGAAAATTTGGGTACATCTGCTTTTATTTCATACGAGATTTGAAACTATTTATTTCAGGTGGGATTCATTAAACTTTATGGAAAGTCAATGTAGGAATTAGAGATAGAGCAAAAAAGCAACATGAAATGACAAGAGTCACGTTAATTTCTTGGTACCAAACAGGTGAATTGTAAAAATGCTAAGTTTCCATTAATGTGTTTTAGGAGTATTTATTCACAAATTCTAATGATAAAAGAGTACTGTAGAGTGTATAATTTTTGAGTAAATTCACATTTTTCATTTTTAAAGAATATTTATAGTATTTTTTAAAATAGTTGTAAATTCCTTGGAAAACTAAACTACTAACAAGTGCGATATTTTACAGAATTTACATGTGTAACTGTAATTACTTACATGTGTGCAAAAAACAATCTTTCGATGTATATAGTTAGCTCTTCAAGACCAACTTTAATGCACCGAACACAGTTTTTATCTGGAAGTGACTAAAATTTATGTTGCGGGGGTGACTGCCAACCTTGGATACGATGCGGAAGGTGAGCGATTGACCCAGTTTTTTTTAAGAACAGTTTCGGAGGTTAGATCGATGTCCGAAGAAGCTGATGTACAAGAATCCATGTAATGAAACGAGAAGTGTATCTCGCGGAGAATGCTGCGCTTGCCACCAGAATCAGAACTTTTGGAGGATGAAGAACAGAATGCGAGTATCAAACCTTTGAATCACAAAACACCACAGACATGGTGATGCGTTGAACAAGCTGTTGGAACAGCCCACAAATCGCGTTTGTTGCAGAGTACGACATGTAGAAACTGCACACGAACATCGGAGATCGCTCCGAATTACTCGAGCCAGGAGTCTTGGATAACTCGGATCCTCTTGTCCAGCAACTGGGCATCGCATGGAGAATGATGTAGAACATGTTTGTACTTGCCATCGAGATCTGCAGTCCAGAGGATTTCGTTGGGAGACGACAAAAAAGAGTGCTGCTAAGCCAGTGTATATGGTCCTTGAGGGGGTAGCACTGTTGAACGGCAGCAACGGGGTTCATTGATTTGCTTCCCTTGACCGGCATTGTTGGAAGGATAGATGCACGCACACGTCGCAACAGCAAATTCCGAACAGGGATGGGATTGTGCGAAACATCTAGTTGCGCACACACCAAGCCGGCTGATCTAACCGAAGAAACAATAACAGCAGAAAGTGGACAGTGATGTCACAACTGGTCCTACAAAATAACTTCTAGGCACACTGTTACAACTAATTCCAGAAATCGTACTGGTAAGTCGATTGCGATTGAGCTTTCAGTGACAATTTCGACCTCCTCCTTGTATTCTTCCATTATGTTTGAGAAGCATCATGCTACAGAGTGATTGCATTTATCAACTATAATACTTTTCTGAAGTTTTAACTACATGGTTCAAATATGTTCCTAGAGACGATCTCCCCTATTTCAAGATCCGTTTTCAATTCTTCAAGTCCAGTTGGTTCTCTGAAGAAA